TATACAATAAAAGAATGATCACCCCACCTTTTAAAAAAAACTCATACTGTGGTTAGGGGTCACCACAGCAAACCATCACACTAACAAGTCGTATATTGACATTTGGCACGTGTTTTACACTGGATGCCCTTCCTGACTCAACCCTGATTCAAACCCGAGCCACAGTAGCCAAAGCGCTGCGCCCTAACCACTAGGCCATCAGGGAACCCTATTGGGATAACCAATATATAGTAATTTGTTAAAATGTTTGAGTGCTATAAACCTTTATAGCACACTGAAAATAAAAAGACAGGTTAGTACTCTTTCCATCATGCATTTGTGTAGTTTGTGTAAAATATATCAATTTGAGGGTAGTTGTGATGTGAAAATGCCATTTTGACAAGTGTTAAAATAGTTTGGAGAGGTGTTTGCTTTTTCAAGAGATGTTTTGTGGTTAGCCTGCAGAGTTTTACAAACAGCCTCTAGCTGCAAACAGTGCCTAGGTAAATAAGCTGTAGTGGTCTTTCTCTGCAGAATCCTCTTATAGTAATAGGCCACCAAAGAGGTTTTAGAATTTAGCACAGCAGTGTTTCCTGAAAATGGTAAGTGTGAATGAAGTGTGTGACATTTGGTGAAAAAGCTTGATTTTTATTTTTGCGTGGAGCTTCATTTTGTAGGGTGTGTGAGGTGCTTTGCACTCTGGGTGTGTGGCTCCGAATTGTTGAATTCTGTTACCAAAATTGCATAAACAACTTAAAAAAAAAAAAAGACTGAATGCTAATTGAGGGTCTTTTTCTATCCTGTAAAAAGGAAACAATTTTCTCCTGAAAAGATTTATTTTCTCGGGTGATCTTCTGATTATTTGGGGTTTCATCAGCACCACACATTTCATTTCCAAACTACACAACTGTAGCTACCAGCCTCATCTCTGAATAATTTGTATTTATCAGGTCTGGCAGCAGTCATGGCTTTGCTGTGTGAGATGCTATCTGAGATTTTTCCGCCTTCTATGTGATTAAACCTTAAAAGGTGAAATCAGGCAATGTTTAATATCCATCAAGTTTTTTGGAGGTCACTAATCAAATGCGTAGAGATAAGGTGCAGCTGCTCAAAGTGCCCCAGATTGCCCTTTGGGTAGAAGTATTTAAAAAGAAACACTTTTCAATAACTCTGAACCTTCAGAATAGATTTGTAACATGGATGTCTCTTTTAAATAAAGGTATACATCTCTTGTATGTTAAAGTCACTTCTTCAGTTGCTTTGACAGGTGTTATGCTGTCATGTCAGCACTTCACATGTGGCTGTGTAACCGCTGTCATGTGGGTGTTTAAAATATGTTTGACAACTTTGAGTTTAATCTTGTACACATCCATTTACTCCTCATGTTCTGTTGAGATTGGCTTTATACTCCATTGTCTGGGATTATATTGACCACAGTTTAAGACTGAAAATAGTCATCACAATTTAATTTTATTTTCATCCTCCTGAGCTTGTTAAATCCTGACCCCTACTCCTCACTTTGTTTTATAGGTGAGCACATTTAAGAAACAAATTTAGAAACAGGAATTCACCTTGTGCATTAGAGGAGTTCATAATCTCTGTGTGTAGTCATTTCATAGCTTTGTTCAGTTTCATAACTCATCACTTGACAACTGATAAACAACAATGACGTATTTGTGGAGGTGGTGAGGTTACTTATTTATCTACTTTATATTTCATTTGTATTTTGTGGCATCCATGTGGACAGAAAAGTAAGAATTTCATTGTACAGGGAAACATGTTTCCTAACTGTGCATATGACAAATAAACACCTTTGACCTTTGTTAGTGTTAACAGAATGTGCTTAGGAGAATGCTGAGTATCCTGACCTCTACCATAGATAAACTTTTCTTGTAGTTCAGTTCCCATAAACAACCGGAAAACAGCTTGAGACGGTACTCTCTATAGATCAGACCATGTGAAATTCATCTGGCTGCTTTATGTATGACTTTCAATCAGACTAATTATATTCCATATAAATACAGATGAGAGCAAGACATCTGGATTTATTTCCAGCAAGTACTCAATGAAAACAGCCAGTGATACATAAGAACATGAAATCATGAGTATGTGTCTGTTAAGGGCCTTTAATTCACCATCTGCTGTTGTCTGTAACAGGTGAAAACAAACACCCTGTGATTCTTGTGGAGCTCTACTTTCAAACAATAACAGATTATTATGTTGCTAAACCCAAGTTTTCCTCTGCACACAGACAAGAAACAACTCTCTGATCCCCTGAGTTACTGAGGGGTACGCCACACTGTTTTAGGTCTATGATCTTGACTGAGGCCTGGCTATTTCTATGAGCAGTAGCAGTATCTCTGTAAAAATGGTCCAAACTCGAAGCTAATGGCTTATTATTATATGACTGAGGATGTTGAGTCATTTTATCTGCCTAAGGCTGATCTCCCTGGTAACAATCTGACTGATTCTGCAAGCAGCCTCCTTTACCCCCCACCACGCACCATCCAAACCCCCTAAGTGCTCAACCCCCACAAAGCCCAACTTCCCAATCACAAACCATATCAGGAGCTCCGAGGCAAGGTGAATTGGATGCGATCCTTCCAGAGATATAATCATAGATGATTTGATTTCTCTGACAATCGCTGCATCGTTGTATTGCCACATTAAATCTGATCATCTTGCTGCTCTAAATTGTTTGTAGATGTGAGTGTGAATGGTTCTCAGTTTTTGTGTGTCCACCCTGTGATAGATTGGTACCTGTCTAAGGTGTAGCCCGTCTCTCAATCACTTAGCATCAGCCGGGATTAGCTCTCCTCTACCACAGAGCTGTGTGGTTGCAGACTCTTGTTAAGGGTTGAATTGATTGCCGTCTTGATGATTAACAACAAAATTATCATTGTATAATGTTGGGAGATTTTCTTTAAGGAAATAGCTTTTGGCTGTCTTTCATGTTATTGTATAAAGAGACAAAATGAAACTTAAAACTTAGGCAAACTTAAAACAGAAAGTCAAACTTCGAAGAGAATAAAGCAGGACAATATGAAAATGCCAGTGGTTTTTGTTACTGCTGTTGGTCTCTTATAAAACATGTAAGAAAGTCACACTCAAAGTTGAGCAAAGCTCTAAAAGGAATCAGCAAACTAAAATGACTAACTTAAATAAAAACTGTAAATGTACAGTTGGCATAAAGGACAAAGCATTAAGGAGCACATCCTATTACAATCACTATGGAACTATGAACTACTATGGAAATTACACTACCATAGGAGTCAACACTGTAGCATCAGAGCTATTAATAAAGTCTAATGCAATGTTAGTCAAATGGCGGCTTTTTTTCCTCCACTGGTAAAAAAAGAGATACATTCAAGGTCAACAGGAAAGACCAAAGTTTTGTCTAAATGTTGTTAAAAAAATAAATATATAAACCTTCCTCCTGTCACATTTGCAGCTTCTTAAGTTGGGTTCAATTTCTGGCTGACAGATTTCTATTAAGTTACAATAAAAAATGTCAGAAATTATATCACTGCACAAACTTCACTCTTACAAAGAACAAGTTTGTGTTATCAGCACTCAATATGTATTTAATTTTGTACGCTTAGATTAAAAATTAACAAGTTAGATATTGGCCTTGGGGGCTAATCACTTTTCTCGAATGTTAATCACAAGTTTTTTTTTTATTTCTGAGTAGCCATTATTGATTTTGATTTTGAAGATAGATTCAGAATCACCTCAAAATGAAGTGTCATGTTTTGTCAAACTTCTACAAAGTTCAACTTTTTAACTTATTGTCTAAATTTACTGCATTTCCTGTTTCTGTCTTTTATTTTGATACACTTCTGTTTTTTTGTCCCATTTCTAGCTTCACCATGCTCTTTCTCAGCTGTATAATCAGTGACTTTGTTTTTAAGTCAGCTGCTCACATTCACTAGTGCCAGATCACTTAGTCCAAAAAGTTCCTAGCTTGAATCTTCTGCATCTTGATCCAGCATTCACAGTCCTCGTTCCACCTTTCTCCCCTTATGTGCCATGTTGCTGGACTGACCTCTCACCCGAAATCACTGCTTACACACACTTACGGACACCCTCTCGTAGTTTCATCCTCTTTCCCATTTCATGCAAAGCCTCTGGTTTTGGTCAGTGGTTTTATATCTAGTTCCATGTTTACTGTATTTATGAATGCACTTCAGTGTGTTTTTTCCACTTTTGGTTTCTATTTGCACCTTGTGAAGTACTGTTTAGACAAGCTAGCCTTCATGTTTGCATTAAGTTGTTTTTACTGTACAATCTGTTGTGTTTTCTCCCTGTGAGGAGATACAGTAGGTTTTAGTTAGTGTATTTAGCTCTCCGTTTTTGGTTTGTTTGTTTTCATGGTGGCTTTATTTTTTGTTCAAACAGTGTAGACTAGTCTTTAAGAGAACTTTAGTTTTTTGCATGTACTTACCAAGAATTTTTGTGAGCCTTATATCTCCAGGTATGTCTTATGTCTAGCCTGAGGCTAGATATGTAAATAATAAATATACTGTACCTGACAGACAAAAAAAAAAAAAAAATTCCTTTGAATTTCTGTAGGAAATGCATGAGTCAAATTAATGAAACAAGACGTTTCCGGAATAGGTCAGAGGTCAATGCGAATTCACTGGGAGAATATAGGTTCTAAACAATTTTGAGGAATATCTGGAATTCAAAATATTTTGTCACAAATGATGGAATAAGACATCTCACCACAGATAAAATCTATCTGACCACCAATAAGCTGGGGGTTAAAGCTTAATAAAAATATCGTATCTTTAGAGTATTATTACTATTTAACAAGACTGGGACCGAGTATTGGACGGATTAAATTCCTGCACTGCCTGAAGAACCCCTCGGCACCAGTACCTTTGGTCCGGGCACTGATACAACACAGCAAAGTGGTGCAGGAAATGAGAATGCCTTGGTTTACTGTCTGTGAGTGAGCAAATCGTTTTCCGTGGAAGCCATCTTTAAAAGTATACGCCACTTTAGTGCGTTTATCTAATTTTACCTACTATCAACCACAAGTTCCTATTCACGCACAGGCGTGTCTTTACAGCCCGCATTTCTTGGCGGAGTAAAGCTGCTGTCAGCCCCACCCCTTACAAACAACCTCATCACCGTTGTAGCTAAATCAGGAAGCACCGACAAAACGTTTTTCTTTTTCTTTTCTTTCCTTTCTTTTTTTCAACGTAGACGCTTTGGTGATTACAGCAGCGGCGAACCGCAAAGGGGGACAGGCGTTATTGTCGCTGGTGTTGACGGCCACTGTTGAGAGAAGACTGACAGTTGGTTCCATCCAGTACAAGGCTCAGCTGTGGATGCATTTGACACAGCCTAAGCGGAGAGGGGTAGGTACACAGTCCAGCTGGTAAAATCACAGAAACGGGTAAGAGGCGAGAGAGCCGGTGTAAAGAGAGCAACACACATGTCGTGGACACAGTCCTACCTGTATTTTTCTATCTTCGTTTATGCGGTGTAACGAACATGTTATCCGCGCCGACTTGTTTACAATGCGTAAGAGCCGTTTCGAAACCTGCGGGGAATATATGCCAAGAATGTTTTAGGCTGTGTTTGTGGCCATCCAGTTCAGTCTAAATGCACGTAAACATGCGTGGAAAAGTGTTGTTGATAAAGCATTACAGCCACAGTGTCATTGCTTTGACAGCGTGGCCTCACTACAACCACTACCACAACCCCCCTACCCTGCCCACTGCCTTCTGCCTGGGAGCCAGCCACTGTTCAAATATCCAGCATTTCAACGCTTATTCGCTTAGTGCCAATACAAGACACAGTGTTGAATGAGACTCAAGGCCTCATGTTAGTCAATAGACCGTTTTCTTCAATTCGGCAGACATACCGCATGCCAAGCTGCAGTCAGCCCAGTAAAATGTAAAGTTTTGTAATTGCTTTACCCTTTTTACTACCGGAAACAATGTATTTTCTTTAGCAGCTAGACTTGAGGTAAATGACATATGCGTACTGATTGGTTGGTCAGTTATATGCCGAATTCATCAGTAGTCTAAGTCACATCGATGACTTTAATGTTCAAGGTCATTTACACGAGGCATGGCAACAGGAACCAAAGTGTATCCCCTTCAAATTGTAAGGTTTTAAATGGAGTTTTGCGCCTATATTCAAGGATGGGAAAGGAATGCACACCTGCTTATCTGTTAAAATGTATCAGGTATTCCAAGCACTTCAGGGCATTCCCATAACATTGTGACACTTTACTGTTAATTGTGACCACATTACAATTTTCGTCATTGTGCACTTGCAATTCAACTGCATAAACATTATCTTGTTACTGAAAGGTAGAAAGTCAGGTGCCTTTAATGTGTGCAGTTTTTTCCTTAAAAAGGTAGCTAGTGTTTGTCATGTCTTAGGGTTTAAACACAGGATTGGCCAGTGGATAGAATGGGCTGCTAGATTTCAGGACTAAAAAGCCTGGAGGAAATTAAGTATTACGTTACTCGGCATCCTAAGCAAGGTCTGGTCAACATCAGGCTGCACTTGTTTCTTGACTTTGCATAAAGACAGTGAAGGCTTGTAACATAAATGATACAGACTATCTAAATGGACAGCGCAGCTGTTTTTCAGCCATTGCACTGCTGATGGATAAGAGCAACGTCATGTAACAGCAGCAGTTCACATGATTACCTATGGGCTGTATTTCTTGCACATTGTTACTTTGATACAGAAAGAGAGATTGGGGCCAAAGCTGTGGGGACGTGCTCACTTACTCTTGCTGCTTTGCACGAACTTTATATAAAGTACTCGCATGAGTGGCTGCTTATGTCTGAACTGCACTGATTTTATTAAAGCCGGCAGCCCTGAACCTCCTCCGGCCTGGGAGCACTCAGCAGCCTCTGACTCTGATGCATGCAGAATGAATCCTTAGCGTTTTCTGTCTTACTTTAGATGATGAACACAGAACATAAAGCAAATACAACATGTTAGCTAGAAAAGCTAGGAAATGTTTTTGATTCATGATATAAGTTGCACCATGGAACTTCAGCATCACATCAGCACAGTCACAGCATCGTTAGATAAAGATGTTTGTACACTGCACTGCAGTGATAGAACTCTTTGGTGTGATCTAATGGATTGCTTGAAATGTCAAGGGTTACTGATTAGAAAAGCTTGTTTACAAGTATAAGATTTCAACAGTTGCATCTTAACTTTCGGACAGTTTGACAAGGAAGCGCAGTTTGCCTGCGAGTACCTGCATTCCACCGGATTTGCCTCAGCTCAGACAGGAGAGAAGATGCCAAGAGGTTTACTCAGCGCTCATGTCCTGCTTGGCATTCCTTTCTCTCTATAAATAAGTCTGCAAGCTTTAAGTATAGTTTTGCATATAGTTTTGTGAAAGGATAGGTATTTTGGTTTCCAAGCACTACATCCACGTATAGCTGTGTTTTGCAGGTGATACACTGTGGTTAGTCAACTTCCGTCCTCAGACTCGGCAAACTTCCTCTTTTTTTTTTTTTTT